TGCCTAGGTGGAAAGTCATACTTCTCTTTGGCTGTTATGAGTGACAGACACATAATAATAGAAGACAAATCATCCTTACTGTCCACCCTCTCCCTCCAGAAGCTGGTGGTATGTGGCAATCTCCTGTTCCAGCCTGGTCTTGATGTCCAGTAGAGATCTGTATTCCTGGTTTTGGCGTTCAAGGTCTGAGCGAAGATCTGCAAGCTGAGCCTCCATGCTACTGATAATGGATTGTATCTGGTAGAGCTGTGCTGCATATCGGGCTTCTACATCAGCAAGAGAGGCTTCCAGACCGGCTTTCTAGATGGAGAGAAAAAGTTCATATAAGGGTCCTGGCAGAAATGCCCCTTCTGTTGTTGTTGAGTAAGAAAATTATCTAGTACTTACAGCACTGAGAAGAGACTGAAGTTCAACTTCTAGGCCCTGGAAATTGCGCCTGAGTTCTGAGCTTTCAGATTTGTTGCTTTGCACTTGCTCTGTGCTGGTGACGACCTCATTCTGTAGTGATTCAACCTGGGAGATGATAAAGAAGTAAATTAATTGTCCCATATTTTTGTTCACATAAACACTTTTATTATATATAAGCTGGGGATGCTTGTATAGCAGTCTATAGGAATCCATTCCACAGGCATAGTCAGTGGAAGGATTTCAGTCCTGGGATTTCAACATATCAGGAGGCTATGGCTCTGAGATTTATCTGGGAAGGAATGAGTGGATTACATTAAGCATGCATGTTAGTGAACTATGTTGCAGCTGATACAGTATGCTGCACCTACATTTCACAGATGGAGAGGAACTATATGGAATGTCCTTCCTACATACACAAAGGAAAAATGATTACAGATTATAGGAGGAAAAATATAGAGGTAGAAGTGAGGATAATATAAGGATTATATTGTTTATATTTCCATGGTGTAATGAACTACCTGGCCAAGGAACCAAGCTTCAGCCTCTCGTCTGTTCTTGTCAGCAATGTGTTCGTACTGTTCTCTGAGTTCATTGATGGCCCTCAGAAGGTCCACTCCAGGAGCAGCATCCAACTCGACATTGACTGTTCCGGCTGCCTGTTCTTTCTTCTCACTGATTTCCTGCAAAAGACACAAATTTATTTCGAATAAATGTTGGGAATCACAATTTGCCAGAGAAAAGGCTGCTGGTGACTTCATTTCTTCATAACCTTTGTGCCTTTTCTTGCATTGGTTTCAGCATCTGTCCTTTGAAAGTACACATTAGCTGGCCCAAATTGAGAATGAAATAACTGATTTTGTTGTTTGACTTAAAGCAAATCTGTGCTTTGCACATGCAGGGTAAAGCAACAGGTTCACTTAATTGTCTCCTATTCTCTTCTCAAGCAGTATATACCTTTCCTTCACATCTATTCAGCCACCAGGAGTGAAAAAAAATACCTGGCACTTCCAGGTATAAACGATCATGTGATTACTCCCCTTTCCCTTCACGTGACAGTGCTGGTTCTTGGCCATTGGCCTAGGTCTGTCCTATGGAAGCTCCATGGGTAAAGCACAGATTTGCTTTAAAGCTGAAGAGATCCTTTCATGGTTACCGCACATCTACCCATCCATGTCCCAGAGATATTTAAAGTGAACAGTGTTACTTTATAGCTGTGCCTTCTTCCCACTACTTCTGCCCTTTTGTTGATTTCACCACCAACCTGCTTGCCCACTGGAGGCAAGAAAATATTTCTGGGTATGGAGGAACATGTGATTCTTTTCTCTTTGCTTTTATGTTGGAGCAATGGGTGTCTGTGATAAGGCATGATGAGAAAGGTCATCAACCCCGTATAAGCACCAATCAGGGTGAGTTTGGGCCTAAACAGGTCTATTTTTCTGCACGTAATCAGGGCACTGTTGGCATAACAGTAAGGTAAGTTTCTGCAGCAGAGAGCTAAAGTATTAAATTATTGCTTTTCCCTTGATGGGCAAAATACAGATTCACTTTAAGAGCCTGGTTAGGCATTAAAGCCTGATTTATTGAATGAAACACAGAATAACTACTTTTGGATAATGTTATAGAACCATTGCTACTGCATTGCAATGAAGACCAAAACTGCTAAAGACATGACTTTACCCTAATGCAACTCACAAAAGAATTCACACTTCTATGTATATGCAGAATTATCCAAGAGGTTTATCTAACTGAACAATAAACGCAAGCTACAGCAGCTAATTAAATTTCACCTTTTACCAATGTGGTAGTTAATGGCTATTGATTGGTTTTTTTGATTGACTGCCCTTCATAGTTGCTATTTTTGCTGTCATGAGCTGCTGTGGCTTGAGGTCATCCTTACTTACTTCTTCATGGTTCTTCTTCAGGTAGACAAGCTCTTCCTTGAGGCCTTCAATCTGGAGCTCCAGGTCAGATTTGGTCATGGTCAGATCATCCAAGACACGTTTCAGACCATTGATGTCACTCTCCACACTCTGGCGCAGGGAGAGTTCATTTTCATACCTGGACAAAGGTGGGTACAATGAATTACTGCATTTTTAGTAAAGAAACAGAATAGAATATATATAAAATAATTGAAAGCAGACCAATGGGACACAACACAACTGCTCATCCAATATTTATTTTCCACCTTTGACTTGTGTGTAAATCATTATACTTGCCAGTAACATTACCTCCTGCATATCCCTTAATTAAATTTTGACCAGGTTTTCTGAGCGCAACCCTGCCTTAGAGATCACTGTAACCTTGCCTACACTTTTAAGCTATGTGCGCAGATTAAAGATAGCCCAATAGGGCCCAAAAGCTACATCCAACGTTCTGGGGCTGTGCACGCACTACAACTGTTCACCCACTGATTGTCAACATTTTTTTTTTAGACCAGGGGTCTGAGCAGGGGCGGATTGACAACTCATGGGGCCCCCCGGGCAATAGGGGATCATGGGGCCCCTGTGTCCTTGCCCAAACTCAAAAAAGTCTATGAAAAAGGTACCAGGGCATCTCAAGGGGCCCCCTACTGACCCCGGGCCCTCAGGCAGTGCCCGAGGTTCCAAATGGTCAGTCCACCCCTGGGTCTGAGGGACTCTTGGCAAGAGTAAAAGCTGTACATAAATGAAAATAAGTCACTGTATAATTGAACCTGTTACCTTAGTTGCTTTTTGAAATGTAACCAGTACATTACTTTTTGCCCTACCCTTTTGGCTTTTCACTAATGCTATTTAACTGCACAACTTCAAAGAGATTGTAATTTTTTTTTTTTTGGCAGGAGGTCAGGTTTTGGTACTTCTGTACTTATTTAAGAATGCAAACAGCTATTATTTGTAGTAACCATAAAAACCAATTAGATGTAATTTAATGTCAGGATAGTTTAGCCAACTCATAAAACTGATATCTGCTTGGTTACTAAGGCAAACAGTACTTTATGATTCCTTGATCTATATTATTTGCTTTTTTTTTTCAAAGATTTTACACATAACACACTATTTTTAGGTTGTATGGGCAATGAAAGGGCAACACTAAACTGATGAGGCCATCACACTGTTTGCAAGCTCCTAATTTTGATTGACAACATTTGTGCAATGTATTTGCAATGTATTAGAGTTTTATTGGTTTCAGTGCAGCCCTTTATTTGCCCTCTCTGTGGTCTGTCGTGCCATTTTGTCAAGACATTTAAAGAAGTTGACCTAAAGACAGATTCAATAACTGAAGACAGAATATAAAACTAAATTAATTTGCAATCTTGTATATGGATCTAGTGTTAAGTCAAGTCAAACCTTTTATACTCTTTGGATAGAGTGGGGAAGGGTTAGAACCTACATCAGTTTTTTTCTGTCTGTATAATCAAAAGTGCTTGCCAAATTAAGATGGAACCCCATCTTTAACAGTTCTGGTCATAACATTCCCTTTATTGGAAGGGAAGATTACTTTTTTTTTCATTAATGCAAAGTGTGCGAGCGAATTATAAAAACATATTTTTAATGATGAAAATCCCAATGGTCATCATTTCATCATAACATCATAAATGCCGTACACTCACTTCAGCCTGAAGTCATCAGCAGCCAACCTAGCGTTGTCAATCTCCAGAATTTATTTTTGAGTTGTTGATTGTTGCTACAAAGATCTACAAGAGAAATATGTATTGTAAAAAAAAGTCAGAGAACACCTTCAAACAATCTATTAAGCATCTGTTTATTCAGTAAAGAAGGGTGAACCATAATATTAATGAACAATCCATTTGATTTGATATCAGATCAGTGGAATATTATTTCTGAATAATTGCCAAGCATTAGTCAAGGGCCATGCCACTCTTTTAAAATGCTTCTTAGTACATTGTGTTGGGTTATGCCTTCATACAAAAATGCAGAATAGTATATATGTTGCCCATGATAACCATGCAAATTCTAACCCTCATGTAATTTAAGTTTAAAGAGATATATATGTATCATGAGCCAACTATGCCATATGTAATTTTCTTAGTATGTGAGCAAACAAAAATTGAAAATGCTTCAATGTCCATGCACAGCAACCATTCAAATATACAGTCAATATAGTTATACCAATAAACTATGAATTCTGATTGGTTACTATGAAATATTGCACTCAACACACAAGTCACTGGCCAAACATTGAAATGAACATATTGAATATGTTTAGCATACATTGATTAGCTATAAATCAAACAGTTGCAGGACACTGGCAAAATTTGCACCTATAACGTGACCCTTTAGCATTTGTAAAACAAGTTTGAAATTGTAATCTTTAGAGAAGATATGTTTGCACAAACAAGATATCATGATATGCACCTAGAACATTGCCCTGTATACTACTGGAAGAACTATTAAACCTCTGTTACCTTATCACGCAACTCATCAATAGCGGTGTAGAAGCCTCCATAGCTCTGTTCACGGACTGTTACAGACCCTTGCTGTGTGTACCAGTCACGGATTTTGACCTCCAGATCATTGTTGGCCTGCTCCAGGGAACGCACTCTTTCTAGGTAGTTGGCAAGACGGTCATTCAAGTTCTGCATGGTGTATTTCTCATTTCCAGAGAGCAATCCTTCTCCACCAGCTCCAGCACTGCCACCAGCACTGAAAGAAGATCCTCCACCAAAACCAGCTCCACCACCATAGCCAGCTCCTCCACCAAAGCCAGCTCCACCACCATAGCCAGCTCCTCCACCAAAGCCAGCTCCTCCACCATAGCCAGCTCCTCCACCATAGCCAGCTCCTCCACCAAAACCCAGAGCCTAAACGTCCAGAGCCTGAACTGGAAATGGAGATGTTGGATCCTCCATATCCACCTCCATGGACACTGGCTGCTCTGTAGATCCCATCAGACAGCCTAGAAGTGACACCACTGCCCCCTCTGGAGGAGCTCTGACTGTAGCTAAAGCTCATTGTGATAATGAGTAGTGCTTAGAACAGACAAACAATAAAACAGGCTCCTACACAACTTGACCCAGGAGTGCAAATAACCTTGCTACATGGTCTTCTTTTATATTCTCCATGGAGAGGTGTAACTATCCAAAGGGGTCATGTTCCATGACATTCTCCACACCTCTAGGAACAGAGCCAAGTTTTCCCTCCAATCCTTAATGGCCACTTGCTGGTTTTGAAGATGATAATTTACATTCTTTCTTTTTTGCTTTAGGGCAAACACATTTTATCTCTCTTGTTTGATTTGTATCACATGTCCAGAGGCAATGGGCTGAATTCTCAAAATCTATTCTGTAAAATGAGTGTAACCTAAACTTGTTGCTATATTCTTGTACTACTGCTCAACAAAAAAAAAACTGCAAAGTAGTAAATACAATAAACAATAAACATGCTAGAGAAGAATTCTTAGTTTGAAACTTTGCATATCTGCAGTCTATACTGTGAAATAAAGTTACATCAAGACTAGAGATGAGCGAATTATTCAAAAATTCGATTCGGCTGATTCGCCGAATTTGCGGAGAGAAATTCGATTCGATGCGAATTTATTCGCTGCGAATTTAACTTATTAAAAGGGTTTCTAGGCTTCAGAGAGCCTTTATATTAGTGCAGAACACTGTACCTTTAATTTAAATGCCCTTGGAGTCTGCTGGGGAAGAGAAATAATACTGTCAGTCAGTATGACATGCAGATGAGTGTCGTCGATCTTAGAATCACCGCACACTTCACTCATTTGGGCAGTCACGGGGCACGACGAAGAAGAAGAAGAAGAAGAAGAATGAAAAGAAGAAGAAGAAGAATGAAAAGAAGAAGAAGAAGAATGAAAAGAAGAATGAAAAGAAGAATGAGAAGAATGAAAAGAAGAAGAAGAAGAATGAAAGAGAATGAAAAGAAGAAGAAGAATGAAAAGAAGAAGAAGAATGAAAAGAAGAAGAAGAAGAATGAAAAGAAGAATGAAAAGAAGAAGAAGAATGAAAAGAAGAATGAAAAGAAGAAGAATGAAAAGAAGAAGAATGAAAAGAAGAATGAGAAGAATGAAAAGAAGAATGAAAAGAAGAAGAAGAAAAATGAAAAGAAGAATGAGAAGAAGAATGAAAAAGAAGAATGAAAAGAAATGAGTAGAATGAAAAGAAGAATGAAAAGAAGAAGAAGAATGAAAAGAAGAATGAGTAGAAGAATGAAAAGAAGAATGAGAAGAAGAATGAAAAGAAGAATGAAAAAGAAGAATGAGAAGAATGAAAGAGTCTTCTGACTCTTGTTCACTGTCCAGCTGCACACTGTCCTCTTCTCTGATAACCCCATGTACACTGTCCTACAAACTAATGGCTTCTGTAGACTGCCCTATAAACTGCTGATCCTATCCTCTGCCCTGCTGACCCTCTGTATACTGCCCAACTGACCCATCCTCTGCCCCCCCTGACATTTTTTACTGCACCTCCACATCAGATAGGCTAGATCAGGCCCTGCCTGCAAAGCAGGGATAGGAAACTTAGAGATATGTTAGTAAAAGCAGCACACTTTACAAACATTACACACAGCTATACATTTAACCCTTTGATTGCCCTAGATCAGACATCACTAAATGGTGGACCGTGGTCCAGATCCAGACTGGGTTATTGTCCCATCTGGACCATCTGAAGTCCCGCTATTTAAGAGCCAGCTTTTCCTCTCAGCTGCCATCACTGCTGTCATCCTCATCCAGCTGACATTGGAGGCAGGACAGCTCCGAATGAACAGTGGGAGGCACATCAGTATACAGGTGACATGGGAGGCAGGACAACTCCAACTGGAGGCATATCAGTCTAGAGCGGAAATTGGAGGCTCTGGATGGAGGGCAGGAACTGTCACATTAACATTTCAAGTTAAACAGCAGATGATTGGTTGCAAGCAACCAATCACCTTCTGGTTACCAGGAAAAGTTGTGCAGCTTCCACCATCCATCCGAAGCTGTCCTGCCTCCAATGTCCACTCTAGACTGATGTGCCTCCCGCCATCCATCTGGAGCTATCCTGCCTCCAATGTCCGCTCTAGACTGATGTGCCTCCCGCCATCCATCTGGAGCTGTCCTGTCTCCAATGCCCACTCTAGACTGGTGTGCCTTCTGACATCCATCCAGAGCTGTCCTGCCTCCAATGTCAGATGTATACTGATGTGCCTCCCTCTGTCCATCTGGAGATGTTCTGCCTCTGATATCAGATGTAGAGATGAGCGAATTATTCAAAAAAAAGAATGAGAAGAAGAATGAAAAGAAGAAATGAGAAGAAGAATGAAAAGAAGAATGAAAAGAAGAATGAGAAGAATGAAAAGAGAATGAAAAGAAAAAAAGAATGAAAAGAAGAATGAGAAGAAGAATGAAAAGAAGAATGAGAAGAAGAATGAGAAGAATGAAAAGAAGAATGAGAAGAATGAAAAAAAGAATGAAAAGAAGAAGAAGAAGAATGAAAAGAAGAAGAAGAAGAATGAAAAGAAGAATGAAAAGAAGAAGAAGAATGAAAAGAAGAAGAAGAAATGAAAAGAAGAATGAGAAGAATGAAAAGAAGAAGAAGAAGAATGAAAAGAAGAATGAAAAGAGAATGAGAAGAATGAAAAGAAGAATGAAAAGAAGAAGAAGAAGAAAAGAAGAATGAGAAGAAGAATGAAAAGAAGAATGAGAAGAATGAAAAGAAGAATGAAAAGAAGAAGAAGAATGAAAAGAAGAATGAGAAGAAGAATGAAAAGAAGAATGAAAGAAGAAGAATGAGAAGAATGAAAAGAAGAATGAAAAAAAGAAGAAGAAGAATGAAAAGAAGAAGAAGAATGAAAAGAAGAATGAAAAGAAGAAGAAGAGAATGAAAAGAAGAAGAAGAAGAATGAAAAGAAGAATGAAAAGAAGAAAGAAGAAGAAGAATGAAAAGAAGAAGAAGAAGAATGAAAAGAAGAATGAGAAGAATGAAAAGAAGAAGAAGAATGAAAAGAAGAAGAAGAAATGAAAAGAAGAAATGAAAAGAAGAATGAGAAGAATGAAAAGAAAAATGAAAAGAAGAAGAATGAAAAGAAAATGAGAAGAAGAATGAAAAGAAGAATGAAAAGAAGAATGAGTAGAGTGAAAAGAAGAATGAAAAGAAGAAGAAGAATGAAAAGAAGAATGACAAGAAGAATGAAAAGAAGAATGAAGAAGAATGAAAAGAAGAATGAAAAGAAGAATGAGAAGAATGAAAAGAAGAATGAAAAGAAGAAGAAGAATGAAAAGAAGAATGAGAAGAAGAAGAAAAGAAGAATGAGAAGAAGAATGAGAAGAATGAAAAGAAGAATGAGAAGAATGAAAAGAAGAATGAAAAAAAGAAGAAGAAGAATGAAAAGAAGAATGAAAAGAAGAAGAAGAAGAATGAAAAGAAGAAGAAGAATGAAAAGAAGAAGAAGAAAATGAAAAGAAGAAGAAGAAGAATGAAAAGAAGAATGAAAAGAAGAATGAGAAGAATGAAAAGATAAGAAGAAGAATGAAAAGAAGAATGAAAAGAAGAATGAGAAGAATGAAAAGAAGAAGAAGAAGAATGAAAAAAGAAGAATGAAAAGAGAAGAAGAAGAATGAAAAGAAGAAGAAGAATGAAAAGAAGAATGAAAAGAAGAAGAAGAAGAATGAAAAGAAGAAGAGAAAGAATGAAGAAGAAGAATGAAAAGAAGAATGAGAAGAATGAAAAGAAGAATGAAAAGAAGAAAGAATGAAAAGAAGAATGAGAAGAAGAATGAAAAAGAAGAATGAGAAGAATGAAAAGAAGAATGAAAAGAAGAAGTATTCCAGTACAGCAAAAAGTGTATCTGCAGAGAGCTCTGCTATTTCTGACAGTTCTCTGACAGTTCCTTCACATTTACAGCGGTTGAAACATTGTATCTATTTGTTTCCGAATAAAAAACATCTGTATCCTAAATGGAAACAAATATATACAATGTTTCAACCGCTGTAAATGAACTGTAAGAACTGTCAGAGAACTGTCAGAAATAGCGGAGCTCTCTGCAGTGACACTTTTTGCCGGCTGATCGGGGAAAATTCGATTCGTGCACCCGAAGTTGGCTAATATTCGGATTCGGCACGAATCGAATTTTTTTCCTGAAATTCGAAACGAATTCCACTTCGCCTGGTTCGATTCGCTCATCTCTAATCAAGACTACCAACATAAAAAAGCAGAGTCTATTCTCTAATTATATACTTATATATATATATATATATATATATATATATATGGACAAACTAAGAAGGGAGGTTGGTAATAGTGGAGATAGCATGCTTAAAACATAATTTTTTCTTTATAAATTCTTCAAACCACAGGTGCATTATTCAGCATGGTTTCAGTAGAAATATATACCTGAAACATTTAGAGTATATAATTTATGCTTTGCTCTTACCGTTGCTTTTTTCCATACATTAATTTGCATAATTCTTAGAATTTTATAAAGCTACCAGATCCTGCCATTATACCCCTACATAGTCTTATTATTAATAAGACAAAAAGTGGAGTAATTCACTACGAGCAGATGAGATTTGATGCTATAGTGATCTGACTAGAATGATTGAAGTATAATCGCGATGATGTGGGAACGGTGCCGCTCTAACCGCACATGGAATCTTGTATAAAGATGGCCTCAGCCATTGCTCCTGCCACGTCCCTGACGTGTTTTGGCCCTCCCACCGGAGCTTGGTCACAGAAAAGTCAGAGACGTCCTCAGAGGACGTGGCCGGAGATGGCTGAGGCCATCTTCATACATCCTTACCCACATCATGCTTGCTAGACTAGATACTATTGTGGACACCGCGCTCCCCCTTCATACCAGTGAGGTGATCATTCAGCTCCAGCTTGGAGTGGCGCCATCACGCTACATATAATCGCGATGAGTTATTTCACTTCGCACGTCATCAATGCTTATTGAATTGGCTTATCCTGGGTTCACACTGTTGTG